TCTCTACTCTTATGGCTCTGTTTCTCATCAGTGACCCTCTCTCCTTCGCTCTCTTCAACACACTGACATCTCACCTGGCAGAGATTTCCATTATCTAAGGAGTGGAACCATTTACCAGGGAATGGGCTTCAGCCGTCCACTATGGCTGACTGAAGGCTCGTTTCTCTATTGGACCTTACATACAGCCATCCCATTTTTTATTTTTTTAGCCACTCCAGCCTCAAATCAGACTGATGACAAGTGTGAGTGGATGTTCACGCAGTCCTTCTTTTTAAATTTTTTTGTTCTCAGTCGTAACAACAGCGACAATTCTTAAAAGCTTTATTTAACCAATAAACACTTTGCTCTTGATTTAATGGCAGAACTGATTTCATTCATATATTCATTTTACAAGTATCAACATGATTTACTGCAACATCTAAAAAGCCAGCTCTTTTTCATTTCAGCATCAATTTGCACTACTTAGTGAGCACGCAGCAAGATTTTGTGAAAGTGAAATGAAAATTTGCCTGAAGCGTGCTAAAAACCGCTGCGAGGAGAATTTTTCCCCAAAAGCGGTGACATTTGTGACGAAGCGCAAACAAGACTGAAAGCAGTTTTACAGGCTTGATGGGGATGAGGCTCCATATTGTTCGTGTTTTGTCTTTCTGAAGAGTGTTTTACTTCTGTTAACAATGAAATCCATTTAAAATGTGGGTTTTTTTTTTTTTTGAAGGTGCTTATAAGGGCTTAAAGCAGCAAGTGTTGCCAAATATACTCCATCCATCCATCCATTATCTATACACCGCTTAATCCTCACTAGGGTCGTGGGGGGCTGGAGTCTATCCCAGCTGACTCAGGGTGAAGGCAGGGGACACCCTGGACAGGTCACCAGTCTATCACAGGGCTACACTTAGAGACAGACAACCAAGCACACTCACATTCACACCTACGGACAATTTAGAATCACCAATTAACCTCAACAAGTTTTTGGACTTGTGGGAGGAAGCCGGAGAACCTGGAGAGAATCTACGCTGCACACAGAAAGATCCCGGGTGTCCTCACCAGGACGCGAACTGGCGACCTTCTAGCTGCGAGGCAACATTGCCAACCACTGCTACATCTTGCAGCCCGGCCAAAAATACTCAAAAAAGTCCAATTTAAAAGGATAGCTTGGTTTCTTTAAAGTGGAATTTTCTGAGGTACTTGTCTATAGTCAGTTTGTGACTTACAATAGATGACAATCGGCAGTAAAACACCTAAAAAGAACTAAAAAACAATCAATAACAGCTTAAGCGCACGCTCTGTTTAGAATATTTTCACTGCTTAGCTTGGCGTCAACAAAATCTTTCAAATGGGAAAGTAAAGTAGTTCTATTGCTCTTTCAGAACCGCCAGAGTCCACTGACAAAAACAGTCATTTTAACTGGCGTAGCAGTTGCTGCTCTTTTATTGTGTGACTTGCTGTTGGTATTACTGGGCGTGAGCTGAGCGTGATCTAGCCTGCAGTAGATGACACACTGGCCACAGACAAGCACAAGGCAGTACTGTTCTATTCTAGCCTTAGTTTTGCTTCCTTTGTGTCATTTGTTTTTTTCTTCTCTGAGCAATGTCTGCCGCATGAATTTCCTTCTGGAATAAAAACGTTTTATTTTATCTTATCTTATGATAGACTGGACTGTTTTTTTTTTTCCAGCTCACGCCTGCTGGATTTCTGACTAATACTGCCCACTTCCCATCATTCCCATCCATAGCTGCACACATCCTGACCATCAACGCCTGCACAATATACGATTCCATTGATTTCATGTCTTCTCCTGTCCCAAAGGGGAAACATTCCTGTGTAGCGTTACTACAGCGATGCATACTTGTCTGCAATCATTCAGCAAAATCATATGAGAATTCACTATTCTATGGCTCGAGGTACATATTTCCCATATTTCTTGTTTAATATGTGTAGGATGATGTGCTTTATCTTGGAGAGAGAGAGCTTATATTGACTGGGCAGAATGGAGCCGGTACATCACCTCAGGCACCAGAGTTGAGTCCGATGTGTGTCAACACTTGGCACATTTGTCACCACAAAGTCCAGCTCTTATCCATCTTTGTCGGTACCAACTGGGGAAAACATGTCAGACTTGCCTTGTTTTGCTTTCGTATTTTTAGAAGTCGGTTTTAATCTTCTTTTCAACTTTACTCGTTGACGCCATTGTTTTGGTTGCAGTAAATTCTGAGACCTGCAGTTTATTTTTGCGCTGCCCACTCAGGCCTGCAGCAAAGTTCCCACTGCCAACTAATGCAGGACTTTAATTTAGTCCCACAGGAGCTCTGGGGTCCCAACCTCAGTACAGGCTTTCACTTCATATAACCCCATTTAAAAATATATATATAACAACAAAAAAACTATTCCTTTAAGCTATGACTTGCACAGGACTTGGAATGCATCGGATTGGTTAGTTGACTGGCTGAATGAAAGTTCTGATGTCATTGCTTTCATGTTTTTTTAATCTTAAACTTCATATTGTTGATTGATTATTAGGATGCTATCATGCCATATTTATTGGAATATACACGAACCTTGTGTTTTAACGGTTACCCCCAGAATACGTTAAAGTTAGGCAAACAGATTGGTGCAACCTTTAAAATGGAAAATTCTATCAGAGATTAACGGCAGGGCCAAATAAATCTTTTAGAGGATCACATTTAGCCCTTGGGCTGCCATTTGTCATACCACTGGTCTGCAGGCTTGCTAGCGGTTCTGTGAGGTTCTGTACTTCGCCACAGCGGTGCTTAAAACCAGATTAGATTGCAAAACATGCTCACGATGACAACGTTAGCTTGGCGATGTTGTAATGTAATGTTTACTGTCTTTATTTAGCATATTAGCATGCCAAAAAAATGCTAATTTCCACTTAAAGTAGAGTGAAGGCTGATGGAAATGTTTATGGTTTTACAGGCCAAAGTCAGTAATTCAGTCCAGTTTAGCCAGTTCAGTCTGTAGAACGCTGGTCTGCCTGTAGCTCATCATCATTCTGCTATATGGGGGAAAAAAATATACTGCACAAAACCTGCATGTCCTAAGTCCTCTGCAAAACTTTTATCAGGTTTCTGTCCAGAGGTCACTTTTGTTTCTGGACAGGAGGGGATTTCACAGACAGCAGAACGGGAGGACAAAGCAGTCTAAAATAAGCAGCCAGTGGCCGCCTTGTACCTGCAGCTCATATTCGCTGATGCAAACTAGTAAATCACTGAAATTGGTTTGATTAATTCTGGGAGAGACATGTCTGTTCCAGCTCCCATCCAGTAAGTTTCAAGACATTTACTGTGAGGAAAAGGAAAGAAGAGAATTGTGCTCCTGGGAAGCAGAGATATGCTTTGGATAAGTGAGCATATGACATTCTGGTGGTGGAACAGGAAGTCAAGGGACCACTGACATCATTCAGACGGACAAACAACAATCAGTCCAGATATAAGTCCTCATTTACTGACCATCAGTACATCTCACAGGTAACAGGAGGGTACAGAGTCTTACCTCGGATCAGAGCATCCATCAGTCCACCGGACATCTTACCCACAATACTCCACTCTCTCCTCCAACCGCTATTACGAGATGGCAACAATCCAGCCCCTTTGACAGAAACATAACTTTGACTCGACCACTTTCAGCGCCTCCAGGCTTGTATCCACGCTGCCTTTTATCTCCAACATTATGAAGAATCTAGTTCTAAAGCAGGTTGCAGTGCTCATGGAAACCAATAACACTTTGTGAGAACTGCAGCCAGGTTTCTGACACAACCACTTCACCCAAACTACCTGTGCAGAGATTTTGAATGATGATGTTCTGTGACGGGGCTTGTTGCATTAAAGTCCAGTGTTCGGGCACAAATAATCCCAAAGATCCACTGTTTTTTTAATGATACAGGGCTGGTTGTGGAGGAATGTATAGGAACAGTTTCAGCTTCAGTTTACCCAGCGGCTCGATTTAAGTTCGTCCTTGTCTGCCTGACTGACAGTCACTGCTGCACTAATAATATTCAGCCGAATGTTCCAGTAAAACCTTTTACTCAAACGTATTGATAAAAACGGAATCGCTGTGCAGCACACGCGTGCAACACTGAATGTCATCTAACTTTCTGCAGCTTATCTGTATTAGCAGAGAAGTTGCCTGGGAAAAAAAAAAAAAAGGTAAATCTGTTAGTCTATTAACAAATAATATCACGGCGTGAATTGAAACGTTTTACTGTAATTGTGCTTTTTGATCCCAGTTTAAACCTTGAGCCGTATTCCAATAATTGAGTCTTTTTAAAACACAAATTAAAAAATGAAATCGTTCCTGCCAGTCAGTGGCGGTGGCATTATAATGAAGGCTCTTGTATCAGCGTGTCTTAATTATGCTGACAAGACATGACTCTGGTCTGGACGAATCACTGCGTTTTGATTAGGAAAAGGGCAACCGCATTACGCCACATGTGGAATCCTTAATTTGCGTCAGTTTCGGAGTTGATAAAAATCAGTGGTAATTGGTCTGATGTGAAGAAAAACTTATTTCAAGCAGTAAAGCGTCTCTATTGTGACTCTTTCTAACTTTTGAGATCCTCAGATGAAAGTGCGATCAGCAGCTCACTTACGGATTATGCTTCAATATTTTTAACGTGCGATGAAGCAGTGTGCCGGCTTTGCTCCTCAGATAAGACCTTTTTTTGGATGCTCTGAAGTTTGGGCCAGAGATGAAAGGTGACCGGATTTTCACTGTCAGGGCCCCTGGGTGCTCGCTTGAGAAAGATAGACTGGCTGTCCTCCTTCAAGTCACTTCCAAGACCCACCAAGAAACGCTCTCATATTTTTGAGTGCACTTCCTTTTACTAAATGGTTATATTTAATGATCTGAGCTTCAAAAACATTAACGGTTATAGAAAATATTTTATAAATTGTGGTGCATCTCGGACGAACAGAGAGGTATTTTATGACGACACAACTTCATTTCTACCTGTGCTAAAATGCTTTGTTTTCCCTCTTCATCAGGGCATTCTTCTCTTCTGTGACCACCAGGCCTCCACCTTTGATATGTCAAAGCTTCCCAGCCACAGGTTTGAGGCCATGGATCACTTTGCAAAGTGCTTCCTAATCCTGCGGCTGGAGGGCAGCCAAGTGGTGGGAGGTCTCCACGGTGCTGAGGGGGACGGCCGGGGCTGGAGGGCTGTACGAGTGGACTTAGTGTCGCCGCCTATAGATCGCTACGCCTTTGCTCTCCTCGGCTGGACCGGCTCCAGGGTATGAAGGATTATACAGACTGAATGACAGAAAAAAAGTTTGGGTAGAAAATTTTGTCATTATATTTCATTAAATTTCTTGTTTGTGTCATAAAAGATCATCTGTGCGACATCAAGGTCAAGGTTTCATTCTGAAGCAAAGAGACACACGGTGCATTATCGATGACTAAAACATGATGAAGTGCACATGATGAAAATAAGACACCAGTAAAGTCTGATATCCCAAAACCGTCTCGCTAATGACACAAACAGGGCTACTTGTAGGCGTCCTCCAGGAAAACTAAATGCATTCAGGCTTCACTATTTCCTTTCAATGCCACAAAACAGACAAGTAAAACAGATATTTTATTTCAGACTATCGATCTTTTCTTTTACAGCAGTTTGAAAGAGACCTGAGGAGGTTCGCTCGGACGGAGCGCCGAATGCTTCTGGACAACCACGCCTTGTTCGACAAGACCAAGGTACCGTGTTACATGAGAAACACCACGACATTTCATCATTTTATCCTGAGTCGGATGATCGTTTGTAAAAAAAAAAAAGCAGCATAATGGATTAGATAATGGCAACATGAGTTCGACCCAGTGGTCAAGAGTATCTCCATACATGTGCTGACATATATATTATTGAGAATAATCGCTTGGTGAAAGTGTAGAGGTGCACAATGATGTTGTAATCACTATTGGTAGCAGCCAATAAAGGTTTTAAAATGAAATATTGAAATCAGATTAATATGAACATTGATAGGCAGATAATTCCTGTAAGGCTAAAAACACAAGTGTTTCTTATTTTGCCCAGTACATGCATAGATTATGTGTACAGTCGTGACTCGATGGTCCAACACTAAATGTAAAACCTTCTTTTATGTCGGATAGCAAGGCTGTCGGATTGTCAAGACAGAGGTTGAGATAAAAGGAGGGCTGGATGCTTGAAGGGTAGTTTGTTGTTAATATTCATTGTTTACAGTTGTTATAATAACTAGTAGGGCTGGTCTGAATAGCAGTTTCTGGTCTCAATTAATGATGAATATTAGAATATTTGTCGTGGTCGGGGGGCACTTCCACCCTGGGGGAGCGCTCCGACGGGGTGGAAGTGACCGGAACACACAGACAATACTTGACTGCTGATGCCAGTTTAGTTAGCGGTCGTAGTTCTGTTTCCACCATCGGCATCGGCGGCGGTGGCGGTGGCAGCAGCGGCGCTACTTCCCCACCGCCGCCATCCAGAATAGAATAGAATAGAATAGAATGCCTTTATTGTCACTATACACATGTACAATAAGATTAAGAGCAGCTCCTTTATTGCAACATAGAATAAAGAACAAAATAAAGAGTAAAAAATAAAATAGAAGAGATTTCAATTTAAAATAAGATAAGTTATATATACAGTATGTTATATATACAGTATTGCTTCTGTTAAACACTGAGCACGCTCGCTACGTGTGACGTCGTCGTGTCCTCTTCTGCACATGTGTGACACTTTTGGGTCGTATGAAGTTCACACAGCAGGTCACATACATTTAACTGGAAATGTGAACAAACTCACAGAAAAACGGATTTCACCAAAAAATCTGAATTGAGCATTAAGTCCTGCAGTGTGAACATAGCCAATCTGTGGGATTGTTCAGTCAGATAATACGCCGTTATCATTATTTGTGACATTAAATGTCATGTCTGAGTCGAAATCCAAGGCTGTCGGTATGTGAAGGCTAATTTTAATGGGTTCCGTTTGTTTTTTTCCTAAAAAGCTGTCGGTTTTCGGATTGTTAAGGGTCAGATTATCAAGTCACGACTGTATTTCATATCTGTATCTGACAGGAGTTGACAGAATAATATATTACCTGAACTACAGGAGAGACTTCATGTTCTCCAAGATAAGAAGAGAAAAATTCTGCATATTGGCCAAAAATGAATTGGAAAATAACAGTGAATCAGATATTAGGAAAAATCTAATATTGTGCATCTCTGCTGTGTAGTCGACGTCCATCAGGTGATTTGTTGTCGTGACTGTTCTACAGAGTGTATATTTTAGTGCCAAAATTGTTTCTGCTGGAGGCTGGAAACTAAAGCTGATAGCGTTTTTTCCTGCGTAAAAGTCAGCGGTTGTTCAAGTTGAATATATGTTTTAGTTTCTCAGATGTCTGTTCAAACGAGAGAAGAAAGGCAGTGATTTGTGTGGTAACTTCTGCGGATTTAATTTGACAACTTCTTTGTGATGTGAGAACTTTTCCTGTCACAATGAATTTACAACAGTCGTGGGAAACCAGTGACATTTTAAGTTTGTGGAGATGGAAACTTTCTTTTGTCCGCAACATTGCTTTGGGATTTAAGCAGCTAAGACAAGTCGATTGTTACGCAGGACTTTAGCCTTTAGACTTTAGTGGTGTTGCTGGATAATCCAGAATATATGGTGTTATGCTGTCATGGTCACATCGTGCTGGCGAGTGGCCTGTGACCGTAAGTCAGTGCTTGTAAATGCATGTATCTGAAGTATAGACAGTGAGAAGCCCCTTTATGTTCTCAGTGTATTGATGAAAACATGACTGAATCTTTTCCTGTGTAGGCTAGCTGTGAGTCAGCTTACGTACACAGCAGCGTTTATCTTACCCACTTATGACTCAACGTTGTTCTGTTGCTGCTGTTGATGTAGCTCGAACTATCGTGGCTTTGTAGGAAACTTCTAATGGACCACCAGGACACACAAGGCAGACGTCATGTAAAATGTAAAAAGCCAAAAGTGTCGGTTGATCAGTTTTAATCACATTTGAATTTGGAGGAGTTCATTAGAATAGCCAAATTCAAAAAGGCTTCCCCAATTATACAAAAAGATCTTTTATGCTCACTTGCGGGTGACTCTTTTAAAAAATAAAAATCAAGGTTGATGCACATAATGAGAGACAAAAACACGTTTTTGAATAAGTTCTGATGGAGCGAACGTCATATGACTGTTTCTGCTTTTTTTTTTTATCGGCTCTGTTGCTGCACAGCATGAAATATGATCAATACCAGCTGAAGGAATAATTACAACTTTACTGCCTGGAAACCATTTGTGAAAACTTCTCTCCATGTTATCTTTCAAGTATGGACAAATCTTTTCTTGTTTCTTCTTCTTCAAGGGTTTTAACCATAGACTGTATAAAAGATGGACGTAGCAACCGGCCCTGAAAAATGAAGCCAACCCGGAAGTGTCAAAAATTTACGTCCGCTAGCTGCTGGCTCCAAAAAGCCCTGGCTCCCATAGACTTGAATTGGAAAAGAAGTGCTCACAGATCACGAAATACTGCATTCCTACAGCTCAGGATTTTTTTCTTATTAGGTTTCATGATCAAATCCAGAGATCAGGTGGCCAATCTGAAAATAAATCAATACTGAATTCTTAATAAATCGTCAACATTTTGCGGGGCAAGGGGCGTGGCTGGCTTGATTGACAATTGGCAGCGACCATACAGATGAAGCGAGCAGAAGGTGGTAAATGTGAGAGAGGGCCCGCCTCTCAATCCGTCTGACCAATCACTGCTCCTATGGCTCCGCCCCCCTCCGATGATTTTTGCGTCACTGGCTCCAAAAATCCAAAATGTCAACCAGGAAGTAGCAAAACCCTGGCTTCATTTTCTCAGTGCAGAAACCAACGGGTGACGTCACGGTAGCCACGTCCATCTTTTATACAGTCTATGGTTTTTAGCAGCTGGCGGTCAGTCTTGTACCTTCTAAAATATTAGAATTGCTCAATTAAGTAGCTTCCGATGAGTGTTTCACATTAACGTTGTAAAAATAAACTGAGATTTTATCAGAATGCTCTTAAAGACTCTTAAAAAATTACATGTATAAACATGCAGATACCCTGGTGTAGTTTAATAGCCATGATATCAGTCAACCCCATTTGTAGACAATATCAAATGGATAGCTGTCAGCATAAACTTTCCAGCATATTGTGAATTATTAATATTAATTTTCCTTCTTTTTCTGATATGAAGACACACAATAAGGAGAAGTCAGATGGTCTTCTCTCAGATAAAACGGTGAAACATTACAAACCATGATGAAAACAGGTATTCATTAAGCCACTCCCTGCCACCTTGTGTGTTCTGAATAACAGCTGTACAGCAAAAGATCTGCTATTTGAAGTTGTTGTCAAAGAGGGATCAAAGTTAAACTGGTAGATGAATAGAAGACGAGAAGATGGAAGCTCATTTATGAGTTAAAATTAGATAGAGCGTCTCTACAAAGAAAGAGAAAGTTAGTAATAGTAAAGTAATAAGTTGCTCTGTGGTGTCGGTTCTGTAGATTCATCCTGTTTTGCATGAAGTTACCCAAGTCTGTTACTTAACTGAACAAGTTGTCTTGGAGGTTTTTCTTGTGCCTGCATTCTAATCCTGAATACAAAGCTCTCTGCAGCTTTTCTATTCAAAACAACAAGAGTCAGGTAATGATTCAGGAGGAAAATGCTTTCTTCTGTCAGTTACTGCGAGTGGAGACAATAGACTGTATATAAAAGATGGTTGCAGTCACCATGACACCACCCATTGGGTTGTGGACTGCTGTTTCAAAGCCTCCAGTTTGGAATTTAGCCGTCGCCATCTTGGTCTCTTGAAACCGAATGCAATGAGCGAGTGGTAAACCTGACTAAGAACGGGAGGACACTGTGATAAGGTAGCAACAGAGAAGATGAAACATAATCAAATCAGGTTTATTGTCATTTTGCTGTACACACACAGCAGTACAGGCACGATGAAGGAGCGTTTCTTCAGGATAATTTAATTTGTAAGTTTTACGGAATGAACGTCTGGGATAGGCAAGACACTCAATGTTCACTCTCGCTGTCTCCTGAAGGGGGCGCTGTGTCTATGTGCGTCGCCATCACATTGAACATGGTGAACCTCTTCAGGTCCTGGTAGGTCTTCAGGGACACAAAGACACACTTGATGGTGTGACGATGGTGAAGCCACAGATGCTGCCCAGAGCTGCTGTCTGTCTGTCTGCATCTACTCCAGCTGTATGTCCGTCTGGGATGTTGTCATGGAGCCATGTTTCTGTTAAAGCAGACACTCAGCAGTCCCTCCACTCTCTGCGGGTTTCTCTCAGAAAACGTAGCTCATCCAGCTTGTTGTTGAGGGGTCGGACATTGGAGAGTAGGAGGATGGTCCTGCTGGTCTGGAGGGGTTAGCCTTTAGCTTAGCATGGATCCTGCTGGTCTGGAGGGGTTAGCCTTTAGCTTAGCATGGATCCTGCTGGTCTGGAGGGGTTAGCCTTTAGCTTAGCATGGATCCCAGCTCTCTTCCTCCTCCTTTGTTTACGTTCGTACCGTTGGCGCTTCCTTCTCTCTCGGGTAACTAGTGGCGTCATCTCCAATCGGGATCAATGTTGATGTAGTATGTCCACATCACAACCGATCGCCGCAATTCCAGCGGCGTTCACTGTCCTGACGCCCAGCAAAGTCTCTCGGCTGTAAGTTTTGTGGAATGAAC